CCAAAGTGACAATTTTTACAAGACAGCATGGATATGAAATGAACCCCACCCCCCACCCCCAAAACAGAAGTACATTTATCACCACTGTCAGCACCCCATCAGGCTGTGTGCTCTTCAGCTGCAGCCTGGAGCCTTTTCTTCATTCAGGGCTAGAAAATCCTTAGAGGCGTTATTTATGTTCAAGGTCAACTCCGCTGCCGCCACCGCTCATCACTTTCGATTATGCAACCTTGTGTCTGCCCTCCGATTTGCCTTAATCTGACAAACGCTGAAGCCGAAACTCAGTTTTGCTCCCTCGTGTTTGTGTCTGCACAGCAGCAGTAGATATGGGGCCCAGAGACTCACTGCGTCGACGACAGGCTCTGTTGTCACTGTGACACTGAAGAATTAGGCTCCATGTCACGGAAGGTTTCTGCAACCTTTGTTTTTATTTTTGCAGTTCATTTCTTCTTAAGTATAGCTAGCACCAGGATGATCTCCTATAGATGCAGCAAATTCTACTGCGACTCAAAGTACAATCAAAGCACCCGCTGCATCGCTGACTCAGCATTATCCTTTATGTCCTGATGACATGGCTGAACCTCAGGTCAGCTCAGGGTGCGCAGGGATTGAATCCCTGCCAGTGGCAAACGGGAAGATCAGGATCTGAGCCAGCGGGAGCGAAGCAGGGTCTCTGTGAGAGTTTCTTTCATTGTGCTGAGTGATTACACCTACAGGAGAGGAAAGGGGTATTGTCTCTGTGACTGCAGGCCTGTTTGTTCTAAAAACAGGATCTGTGGACTCGCTGAATACGAGGGCGACAAAGCTTCTGCCTGTGATCTCAGCGACTCTCAGTGTTATGTAATGTGGGGCAGGAGGGTCGAGCAGTAGAAACCCAAAAAACAAAATACAGGTTATTGATACTAGTGGTCTGTCAGTAAATAAAGTTTCAGTGGTATTGTTATGTAAAGAGTCGCTGTGCCATTGCTGTGGGCTTGATATGGCTTTTCCCTGTTTCTGGATACTAAGGAATCACTTCATGGATTATTTTCAGCTAACACGATCACCAATAAGGACCTGCTTCTCATGGCCGATACTGATAAGATAGTATCAATTAGTGTAGAGCAGCTGATGTACACAATTAATTGTAAAAGTTAGTTAATGCTAGCTAATGTCCACTGACAAGCTAACTAGGACATAAAGGTGTGTTTGCTCTTTGTAATAGTGATATTTACATTCAGTATTCACTGAAATGAACTGTGTATGCTTGAAGCCTAACAAACATTTAAGTCTATTTTTCAGACCTGCTTAGCTTATATGCATGTTTGCTGGCTTGCAGTGCTTTTCTTCGTCACATTTGTTGCCACATTGTTGCTGTTATTTTATGGAATAGCATAAAAGCAGCAACAGGAATGTGCCAACATGTTCTACCTCCCAACTCATCAAATACTGCAGCTTGGTCAGTGGCCCTCCGCTTCAAAATATGACGCTGTATCCATCTGGTGTCATGGATGGCTCAAACAAACAGGAGAGTGCTCTTTGTGTTCCATGTGAAACCATAAAATAAACAGCATTTTTATTTGATTTTGATTTTGATAGTCTATCTGGACGTTGCATATTTTATTCTTGCTAACTTGATGCAGGAGGGATACTTACATGGTCATATTTTATACTACTACTAGTGACTTCATAGACTACCTTTAATTATTCAAGCTCCCTGACGCTAAACCTCTTTACACTTACTGCAGTTTAGCTGCACAGTTTTTCCATTACATTTTTGCTGCATGGCCATTGCTTTTGTTATATTACAATCTACATAGTTTCCAGAGGTTCAACTCTTTCTATCATGGACAGTTAATTATTTTCTTGAAGCACCATCCTTGGGCCAGAATGCATACAAGATCACCCCTGACCTTTTTAACAGAATTTTAATTTACTAAGTGCGCGTTCATGCTCCCCTAAGGATGATCCCATTTTAGAGACTGCAATACCACCCTCCAGACAAACATAACATTTTCTACTATTGGTAACATTGGAAGACTTCAGTATGTTGTTCGTTCTGCCTAACACTCTTGTAATTGGCTTTAGTCTTGTGTGATCTGATGTGTGATTTGCTAGAAAATATCAAGTCAAAAGTAGCATACAGAGCACATGTGTGTTGAGTAAGAAGATCCAATTGATGATAACTTCAAAATTGTTTTGCTGGATATTCCCTTTTCACATACATTAAGCATTAAATTAACATATCAGCATAACCGTGCCATGATATTCAGCTTAAAGAAGTGTATAAAAATAGGGACTGAGCTTTATCACACTATATCTTTTCACTTCACTTCACCTCCAAGCCTCTTTATCCTTCACCCACTGTACTATCTGTGCCTGCTGAATATGCATCAGCAGCTGCTTTAATTGATTCTAATTCCAGTCACAGTGAATGGGGCAGTGGGTGTGTTTAGGGTTAAGGTTTACATACCTAAAACCAGTCCAGAATTAGGCTGTAGCAAGCTCACTGCTAAGTCCTAGTTACACCATGCAATGCTGGGTTTAGTCAGCATTAATAACAGAGGTTATTAGCACACATCAGTTGTTTGCATCAGTGCGGTTAACTGAAGTGTTTGAAATCTCCCTTAATGATATTCCAAGAGACCTCCTCACACCTTGTGTTTACCTGTGTGGGTGCAGACCAAACAACTGGACCTGGTCTCGCTATAGAAATCCAAAGAGCAACAGAGACTGGCGAAGACTAGCGAAAACACCCACAGCTACAGGCGACATCTTATCACAAATCATGTTTGTTTATAGCATCAGGGTATACTACTGTATGACTTGCTGTTGGCTTGATATGACTTGAGCTAGTCTGAATATATCTTTTATCAAAATTCAACAGTACTTTAGTTAACCTACATGTAGATATTTGCATTGAAACCACAAATAAAAGTTGCTGTAACTTGCTGGATCATACTGGATCTAAAGCTACATCCCAGCTTCTGTAGCTTGTAGGGACGTGCATATCCATTGCTGAGGCTGATGTGATATGTACCCTCGATGCATTGCCAATGATCCAATACATTAAAGAGACATATGAAGCAACTACCAATGAGATATGATATGATTCACCCATATTGGTATGCAGTGCGATTCAACACGAACTGATTCAACACAATGTGATTCAACGCGATGTGATATCAAATATTTTTTTTCTTTGGTTCTTCTTCAGCAGCTTGAGAAACAGTTTAGAGAGAATCAGATTTCTAAATAATCAACATCATAAGGCCTCTACTAATTATTAGGAATAAATTGTTGCCAACTGCAAAGATGTTAGAAAAGAATGGTTCCTAAGTTCATCCCAAATTGCATCCCATGCACACTTTTTATTCAGTGCAGTCGCATCTTGAACTTTTATGCTGGTGCACCGACCCTAGTACCTTGACTGCTTCTGCACATCCAGTGTGAGCTACAGGGCTCAACTTCGGGTTGCAATGGTATATCTTCATGATAAACGTGTCAGAAAATATCATGGAACTGTTTGTTAATTACATTTTTGTTATTATATCAGTTACAATGACCCTTAAAGGACCAGTCAGTGAGATTTAGATGGAATATAATATTCATAGGTATGTTTTCATTAGTAGAATATAGGTGTTGTGTTATGTTACCTCAGAATGAGCGGTTTTTATCTACAGGTTGCCTTCCATGGAGCCTGCGAGTAGGCCAGAAGGGACAAACCAAACACCGGCTCTAGATGGGGGGATTTGAGTGAAATGATGCCAGATGCCACTAAATCCTACACACTGGATGTTTAAATGATTGATTATTTAATGAAAAGTTTCAGTGAATAGTTATGAACATCTGACGAAGGCCCAGAACTTTATCCTTCAACAGCTAACGTTTCTGCTGGATGTATTAGTTATATTAGGTGTTTGCTAACATGATAGCCATAAAACCTGCTTTTTTGGACCTTTTTCCATCGACAGGGAACAGGCTCCGTTCCAGTTGGTGCACCTAGTTTTGAACCTTTCGGAGCATCAACAAATTGGTTAAAAACCAGAAAAGTTGGTTTAGCTGAAACCAAAAAGTAGTTTTCCTTGTAAACCAAAGTGGTCGTTTCATATTCTACATCCTTGATTACAATAGTTCTGCTCAAATCTGGTGGGAACTGGGAAGATATAGATCTTTTGGTTTGAAAAGAAAATTAAGTAGTGTAGAGTTGAAAAGTTAAAAATACAGGGTGAAAAATGGGTGGAAAGGTTAATTTTGGGGCAAAAGGAAAAAAAAAATAACGTCCATGCTTATTTAACATGAAGATTCAGATAAGTCTGGGTTGACACAAGCAACAATTTATTTTTGAACGAAATTATAACAGATATTAATACAGATGAAATATATGTAATGTTAAGTCAAGATGCAGAGTAAGCATAAAAAGAAATGAGAATTCTTCACATATTTATAATCTAATAACTGACGGAGTGTTTAAATCGATCTTAATGTTTTACACTAAAGTAAGATGCAGTTAAAAAGTAAAAAGGGAGAATTACTATAAATAGTAGATGCAAAATAGATG